TCGTCCTCGTTGTCGTCGAGGACAAAGCTGTCCCGGACCAACTTGATGCACTTTTGGGCGCCCTCGAATGGCGGGATGGCAAAGGGGCGGTAACGCCCTTGGCTATCCTTGGCTGAGTCGTCGATCATCAGAGCGGGATCGATCTCAATGAAGCTGCGATTAGCCTCGTAAAAGACGTCGTAGCCGCGCTTCTTGCGCTCTTGCGGGTGAACTAAAAGTTTCGACCAAAAGTTAGGACAATCTGAACTGAGCGATGGCGTCGCAGCTGATTTTTTAGGGGAAAACTTACCGGACCAAAAATTCTTGGCGTACCGCTCGACATTCGGTCTCATGGCAAGGTTGCTGTCGCGGGTGATGATAATATATCCCACCTCGAGGGACGGAAAGCAGTCAAAGAAGCCCTGGAGCTCTTTGGGGCACATTCTCAGATCTCTATGATCATCTCGATGCGATTCATCAGGGCACGCAAAGATTGAGCCTACAGCGTCTAAACACCAGTTGTGGCGCGAGCTGTATGTGACAGCTACGTGCTTCAGACCCGCGATTTGGCCGTTGATAGGTCCAGAGGTCATGGCCTCGGCATCGAGGGTCATTGGAAGCGCCTGGTGGTTCAGATTCCAGAACCTGTAGTGGCAGCGGTCGGAGCGCTGGAACTCGAAGCGGATCAAGTCGTTTTCAACGTCAATTACCGAGTTTCTGCGCAGCGCTCCACCTACGAGAGGGATGTGCTTTGCGTTTTTACCGGCGCCCAAACGGAAAGCGACCTCGGCATCGGGGCTCACTGACTTGAGAGCGTTGGTGAAACGGAAACCTGAGCCATCATCGCTGGCAGGCATCGGTATGTACTTTGTGGTCCATGTGCCGCGCAAGCTGCCCGGCTGGTCAGGCGTCTCGACACGGACGGCCCTGATGGTGTGAATGTTCGGCTTGCGCAGGGCCTGGAAGAATATTTCCTGGCGAAGCTCGGGGATAAGCTTCTGGAAATACTCAAACTTGGGCTCGGAAGCAGCGACTGCGTTCTGATTATCGTCATCGTTGCCAGCCATGGGATTAGTGGCGGCAGCTTTGCCTTTGGTGTTATGAGGGGCAGCCATCTTCGTTGCGATGATGACTGTGTGTGATGATTGTGATGAGAAAGATGAAGAGTTGAAAGATGGTGACAAAGATGGAAAGTGGCCTGGAAAGGCGTTAGGTGGGGTCGTGAACAGCTTTCGATTGATTGCGAGTGATGCGAATGCGAAGGAAGGTGGAAGAGATAAAACTTACAGCGGACTATCGAAAGAGAGTGGTGAGTCTGACGATTTCGATCGCAGCGAGGTTTGCGCGAGTGAAAAGACGAAAGGGCAACTCTGCGAGTCAGCTCTCGTCGCTGGTGCTGCGAGTGGGATGGTGAGGAAAGGAAGCAAGAGGAAGAAGAAGTAAAGGTGAAGAGGAAAGCAAGAGCACCGTCCTAGTCGGCCCTCTCGCGGGGACCTTGCGGGCGCGGCGAGTTTCGGGCGGCCAATGGCTGCTCAGCGTGGGACGCGGGTCCTTCCTCGCGTCGAATCTCACTGAGAGGACACTTTCCCCATACTGCGTTGAGGTACGTATGTATTTGAGCCTCGATCGGTTAGCACTTGGGGAGGGCCATGCTGGAGATCCAAGAGGGTCCTGATGCGTAAGGTGATCAAATCAAGCTAGAGAAACATCACCATCAGACACTACCTCATCATCAGTGGCCGCAGGACTTATATCCTGTCTACCTATCTACATAAAAGACTAGAACCAATGACCAAAGGAATTTGCAAATAGGTAGGCACCTACTTGAGCGCCGTGAAGGTACTCGGACACTGCTAGTCCATACTAAGTACTTTAACAAACGATGAGCCAGCTGTTTACCTGATCTTGACACACAAACAAAAAACACGCGAGGGAAAACATTTCCTACACTTTCATTTGCCATGAACTGTTATGCCATACGAGCACTGAATCCGAAACCCACAAGTAGCGATGATCCATCCCGAAAGTGACGGACTACGAGCCAGAGACGACACGACGGACAGATACATAGGTAGCTGACCAAGTTTGGAATCAAAAGGACATTGAGAGACTGCACAGAGACATGAGGAATTCGAACCAATTCAGTTTCGAGACAGCAAGGTATTGGATATACGACACGGTATCTTCCTCGTAGACGTGGCAGCTACGCTCAGGCATTGCAACGCCGTCCATTATACCGCGTATCCCAAGATTCTCACGCTCCAGCACCATTGCCAAGAAACGCAAGGTGTTGGCCTCGGAACAATGGAAACGCAGTCTTCAATAGAGATGTGAAATCAACAACATAATAAATATCAATGGCACCCGTCGGCTTCTCCACCCTATTCAAGTACGTAGGAACCGTTTCGTCCCATGGACGCACAGAAAATACACCTATACCATCAAATCTGATTACCGGCCCTCGTGTCACAATGTGACTTGCCCAAAATCCTTTCCGTCATCCCAAACCCATCCTTCGACGACGCATGCCTCTCAGTTCCGTCCCCTCCAGAAACAAGCTAACTCGTCCTCGACCAGACATTCTCCAGCCGTAACTGCATTTCGACTTGGTACCTGGAATGTTCCTCGTTGGGTCAGTCTGCATGCTCATTAATACAGCACAGAAGATGCTGATAAAGCTTTGGTTTGGTCGCAATAACTCGCTCCGTCTCCTGTTTCCATCAATTCAGAAACCCCCCAAAGACGGATTTCCGTAGCCAAGCGACTCATTGTATTGTCTTTTCTTCTTCTCCGAGCTCGCGTCCTGGCAATCTTAGTAGCGGAATCACAGCCTGAGGCTGCTCCATTGCCGATACGGCAACTCCCGAACTCGAAGCCTTGGGCGTTAAAGGCGGACTGGGCGGCTCCGACCCAAAGGCAGCTGCTTTCGGTTCGTCCTTGGGATCTGAACCCGCTGTTGACCAAACCGCCGTTTGGCTATCAAATCCCACGGCCTCCCTCGCTTTTTGGTTTGACACATCTTCTTCCCCTCCCCTCTTTTCATCAGCATCATCATCACCATCATCCCCAGGATCATCCTCCCAGCTAAAACGTTTCGTAGGAACCATTACCCTCGGAATGGGAACCTCGTGCGGAACCGGCCTTCCGAAAGCCAACCTCCTGTACTGCAACGCCAGTGCCCTGACCGAGTAAATCCTAACCGACTCCGAGCTCAAATAAATCTCGTTCAAGTTGAGCGGCCACCTTTTCGCCACCGCCTCGCGGAGCCGATTTACCCTTTGTAGCATATGATCAAACTGGCGCGATAACGTGACCCGGCATTCAACTGTTCGAGTCCATCGTTCATCAGCAGCCAGTTTTGACGAAACGAATACGCTCAACCGAAGGAGGGAAAGCTTGGGGGGCAGGGAGCAGGACAGAGAGAGCAGAGTGAATGGACCGAAACGGAGTCAAACAACAGGAATTCCAAAAAAAATATAGGAAAAGAAAGATAAATAAATAATGAAGAAAGGGCAACATACCGTCCCCCTCGGCGAAATCCCCCCCGATCAGCGTCAGCCCGATCTGATAAGTCGACCGGATCCTATAGCCCGAAATCTCCAAGCTCGTGCTCGCCGCGCACTTGAGAATCCCACTTCCACTCTTATCAAGGTCCCATCCATCATCATCATCATCCCCCTCATACCTCTCCCCATATCCACCATCTCGACGAGAATGTGTACGATACCGATTCTCCGCGGCAAACCTCGCGCTCCAGCTTGCACAAAGATTTAACGCCGTCTCGCAGGACCCCGCGAGGTTGTCCACAAGCACTTCGACCCTTTCCAACTCTTGCTGTCCGTCCATACCCATCTCTACCGCAGCAGCGATATCTCTTGTCCCCCAGTGTATTACGCCAGCAAATCAGACACACACCTACTAAGGGGGAAAACAAAAAAGAAAGAAAGAAAGAAAGAAAGAAAGAAAGAAAGAAAGAAAGAAAGAAAGAAAGAAAGAAAGAAAGAAAGAAAGAAAGAAAGAAAACCGGAAGAAAAACAATGTGCTTGTGCGTTGTGTATGTGTGTTGAGGCAGGAAGAACTATTCAAAAAAACAAGAGAAAAAGTAAACTGAAGGCAGTCTAAAAAATTCAGACACAACAAGTCCAACTGAACGCGGACAGGATCCCCCCGGTCTCCCTCGAGCATATGACCAGGCAATATCAGATTAATTACCTATCAAACAAATCGACAAAATTCCCAGAATGGGGCAAATTCTAAAAGAAATAAACAATCCCTCTGTAGTAAGGTATGAATGGAATCCTAGATAGAATAATAGTCAAGTAAGTAGGTAGGTAAATCACACAAACACAGGTTCAAAACAGAACGAGAGGGGGAAAAGCAAGATTGAGCAAGAGACGAGGTGAGCTTGAAGCCCGGGCTTTCTCCCCCTCTTCCCCTCCCTCTCTCTATCTATCTATTATCTCGCACGATTGGAATAAAAAGATAAGGAAAAAAGTGCAAAAAAGCCACCACACACACAACACACACACCTTGCCAAAATAACCCCCCGCACCACCACACCACCACACCCCCCTTCCCCCAATTCCCCCTTCAATCCCGTCCATCCTGTCCCATTTCAGCTCACCAGACACGTATGACCTTATCTTTTCTCTGAAGAGCTACATACTGCATTCTCCTTTCGGTAAAAAGACCTAACCAAAAAAAAAAGTGACAGATTGCTTCCTGTTGCACACACTCCGAGTCACAAATCTGATCAATCAAATCACATTAAGAATGAGGCGTCCACCAATTATTATAATTTTTTTTTTTTTTTTTTTTTTCAAAACTCTATTTAATCCTTTTTTTTTTTTCTTTAAAAAAAAAAGATGAAAAGTGGATGGAAAAACCGTTACCATTAATAAGAATATATATTACTCAAGCAACAGAAGGGATTTTGCTCTAGGCAAACATGTTCTGATCAAAAAGAATCATGCGAAATGAAATGAATGAGAGAAAAGTTAAAAAATATAAAAAAAAGAAAAGTCACTTTGGCCGAGTGGTTAAGGCGCGGGCCTGCTAAGCTCGTCTCTTCGGAGGCGCAGGTTCGAATCCTGCAGGTGACGTAGAATACCATCCTCCAAATAGGAGGAATCATTTTTCATTTTTTTTCATTTTGAATTGATTATTCTTTTGTAATCCTTTGTCTTGAATTTTTTTTGGGTTTTTGGCAGTCGGAGCTATCCGTGAAACAAATTCCCCCCTGATGGAGCGGAAAAGGCGTCACATTGCATTTGATTCAAAAACACAGCACAATAATTAGATAGAGGTCCCTTCAGAATCGAGATGGACCATAACTTTAGTATTTCTTTTGGAAAAAAGCAATTCCCATCCACTAGATTGGCTGTAAGCTTGCCTGCATACCAACTTCAAATCATCCGCCATAATAAAATAATCTTAGGAGTAGCAAAAGTTGAGAGTTAAGAAGGAGAAAATGCCACTTATTCGTTTTATCCGCTGCCCCCAGGAGCCTCCTCCTCCCAAATACAAAATAAGATAAGAGAAAAAAAAAAAGAAAGAGATACAGTGTCGGTAGTGATAATCATACCGCAGAATCCCAAAAAAAACCAAAAAAAAAACCGCCCAGATTTTATTCCTGAACCCCCTTCCCCGAAACCGTGGAGATAAAGTTCTGATACTGCTCATCTCCATCGTCCAAATCCATGTCTTTGCTGTAAACCCTAGATCTAGAGGACAGCTCTCTCATTTCCACCCTGGGTGGCTTTGTAGCCCATAGGACTCCCGCCATCGGGTTCTGTGCACCCTTTTTCTCCTTCCCCATCACCTCGGCCTCTTTTTCCTTTGTTATTGCCGCCACGCCATTGGTGGCTGTTTCCGAATCTTTTCCCTCGGGCTCGGTGCCGTCGCTCCTAGGCAACCTCATGGCTAGGAGAAGATACTCTGCCCTCGTCATTTTATCCATCACATCGTCCATGTACTGTTGCACCTCTGCCTGCGGAGCTACGACTCGTGATAGATGGTCGAGGTGGCGTCCGGTGGGCGTAAACAGCCGGATGGTGACAGGCTGGTAATAATCCAGGTCGGGGTCGGCTTGAGGATATTCGGATTTGCTACCCCTCCGAACGAGCAAAAATGAGCAGAGAACCTGCTGCCCTGCGCCCTGAGGCAGCGGGACTTGCTCAACAATACTGAATTTGGGAAACAGGTATCGGTCTCCCGTGCCCCCCGCAAACTCAAAGACGATGGCTGAGATGTCTGGCTTGGGGGGAGGAGGTGGTGGTCCCTTGGACCGCAATGCTTGCTGTGGCTGAGGGGTAGGAGCCGCAGACGACGCAGCGGTCCCGTTGGGGGTACCATTCACCTTCGGAGGCGCGGAGCTTGTACTGGGGACCGGGGACTTGGGCTGCTGCTCGAGCTGTTTCGACCTGACAATGCCCTGCAGGCGCTCCAAGGTAGCTTTGAGAGTAGTCGAATCCAAGAATTGCGTTCTGTCCTCCGATATTCGGCGCACTAGCTCTCGAGTTTTCACATCGTCGAGCGCCTCCTTGACGAGCGCCACAACCAGCGGGTCGCTGTCAGCCGGTGGCTTCAAGTCGGCCGACGTCTGTTTTGGGTTAGATCTCAGGACAATGTCGAGGATGCTCCGAACCTCGTCTGCAAAGTACCGGACCGAGCGACCGTCAACTATCAGCCTGTCGGCAGATGGGCCACTTGTTCCCCGGCGCTTGCTCTCGGCCGTAAGAGCATCAATAACGCCCTGAAACCGCTCTAGCTCAACCTTGGTGGCCTCCCCCTGAGCGACCTTCTTCATAAGATCTCGGAGCATAGGATCCGCGCCAGCCTTTTCTGCCAGCATGAGAATGATAGGATCGGTCCCCGGAGCTGGCTTCCCCGATGCGCCGGCAGCCGTGGCTGCCGAGGTGCCGTTGACTGCCGGCTTCGGGACAGATGGACTGGGCCCGCCGGAGACGTACGGGGTTTGCTGCGACATGGCGGGCGACGCCGGGACTGGGGGTCTTGGCGGCTGCGGTGCGGCTGTAGTGGGAGAAAGAACAGACTCCATGCCTCGAGGCGAGGCAACTGGTCTAGGCATAGCGACGGGGACCGGCGCCGCAGCATGGTTAGATTGAGCAGGTGCCTGGCCAGCTGGCACTTGTGCTGGTGGATGAATCGGCGCACCGGACGGGGGTGGAGCCGGTGTTTCGGATTGGGTGTGAGGTTGAGGTTGGGGTTGGGGTTGATTCGGTTGGTTTGCCTCATCTTTAAGCTGAGGTGGTTGTGGTGTCTGTGTGGGAGTGGGCGATGCCGCTGCAGGCTGCGCTGGCTTTGGGGTAACTGGAGGAGGCAAGACGCCATTCGGGGGTCCATATTGTATGACGGGCCTCGGGGCATTTGAAGCCGGGGCTGGTGGAGGTTTCGGGTCCTTGACAGCGTACATGGTGGCCTCGAAAACGTGGGGCTCGATGGTGATGGTTACCTGGCAGAGCTTGGTCATGCTCTCCTTCGGTGGGTTGTTGGGATCTTCAATGACGACCCCCTTCTTCTTGATAGGTTTCGCCCAGTATCTCTCGAAAATGCCCTCGGTGATCCATGTCTGTCGTGAACGCGTAAGTGATTCGGAAAGAACGCCGCTAAAAGAATAGTATCAACCGTCAGTTTCTTGCCCGATCTGAAGGGTGAGAGATCGCGTGCGACAGATAGCTTACCTTTCGGTAACCGTCTGGTAATCTTTGCTGGGGAGATCGTCGGGTTGTGGGGAGTTGACGGTCGGCAGAGGCTTGCCTGCAGTAACAGATTTGGGAAGCGGCGGAGGAGCATCCTCAACAGCAGCGGGCTCCGGCTCGGGTGCGGGAGTCGGAGTGGACGATTTCGAGTTCTGCGCGGGAGAGGGCGTAATGTTTCTTCTCTTCGCGGCCTGCTCGCCCCTCGCGGCGGCGCGCGCCGGCATCTTCCGCTTGAGGTTCTTTTCCATTGTATCCGCTATCCGAACCGGGCGTGCAGATGGGTGCGGGCGGGTTGTCATAAACGCATGAGAGGCGCGACGGGGACGGGGAGGGCGGGTGGTGATTTAATGTAAGGTATATGGAGATTCACAATTGCGATAGCTTGGGGAAATTTGCTGCTGCGTGGAAAGTTAGATCCGTCGCGCTCCGTGACAGCGGGGCAATGGACACGGTGGGGAGATTGCCGTCCCAGGACGTGCTGTCATGGTGTGTGGTTGCTGCCCTCCGAGGTGAGATTGTTACTTTTGGGGTTTGAAGTGTCTTACTCGCCGGGGAGGAAGGAGCTGGACCCTAAAAAGAAAATGGAAACCAGGAACTTTTGGACTGGGGGAGTTGAGGTCCGAAGCGCTAATATAAACCTTGTCAGGATGCAGGTCGGCAAAAGCCGATGATTGGCCCAGCCCAAAACCACAGCAAAGTCCTTGGAGGCTTGGACAGCCTTTCTGTTTGCGCCATGAATTTGCCGGTGCGGCAGCGGACTGGAAGAGAGAGAAGAACCTATGGAGAATAGAATATGCAGCGAAAACGGCCTTGGTTTTATCCCCCGCTCATCTCATCACGGTCACCAATTCTCCGGTTCACCTTCTGGGCCAGGCTAGCTCCCGCCAAGACGGAGAGTGATATGGTTTCGTTGTCTATGTAAAATATCCAACACGCCCATTATAGGTCTTTTCGCGACAGAGGTTTTCTGTGAAACATCCTTCCTCACGTTCCATGCAGATCATCCGGTCATGGAGTTTATAACGACAGTACTGAGAATGGCGTTGCGGCTGACGGGCAGCTGGGTGGACTGTGATCTTGGCGACGATTATCACTGTTAGGCTCACTAACACCTCGTCTATAGTCGACAGGAGGTTTATCTTTTCAGATGGTAAGCTGCCTAGGATTGCACGACCATCTTTGTTCCTGCGTATGAATCAAGGTTCGAGGGATACAGTGTCTTTAACCTCCCGTTTCGCGCTTGGCGATCACCCGCGCACTGTATTTCCGGGTCCACTGTCAACCGACCTGCAACTGCAACGTCAGCTCCTGTTTGTGTGGCACGGGAGCGACTGGTCGCTCTCCTGCCTGACTGAGCCACTTCCCCAAGGGAAGCAAGATAATTATCATCACATGCTCGGGTTCTTGAAGAGCAGCGTATGTGTGTTATCTGAAATGTATCATGGGAGGACAACAAAAACTCAAGCCAATCCCCGTCAAAATGACGAATAAAGCGCCGTATCTAGCCGTCGGTCTTGTTGTTGGAGTGCCGTTGGCAATCTACGGTCTTTTCCTTGGCCTCGCCGCGGTTCCATTCTTCCAGCGCCAGTAAGACTCTCAAAAGCATGCGCCTCGTGCGAGTGATAAGGCTCATAAACAACATCTTCTAATCATCACAAATGATGCCAGCTTTCTGTATGCGCACAAGTTTTCGACCATATGGCTGCCAGGCACGGACCTCAATGATCCACAGAGATGGGGATTTGCCAGTCAGTATTAATTAATTAGTCTCTAGACACAGTAGAGACTCTTCTACCTATCTAGATGTAGAGTTACTAATTCCTCAATGCTTTCCGGCAAAAAAATAAAAATATAGAAAATCAAGCAACACCTTTCACCCTGACCACGGCAGACAACCAAACCCTCCACGCCTGGCATATCCTCCCCCTTTCCACTTATCAGCAACACGAATCCTCCCTCGTTTCCCAACCCACCGGTCTGAGCAACGACATCACCACAACTCAGAATTTTAAACTCCTTCAGGATGACCCTTCCGCCAAACTGATCATTAGCTGTTTGTACCCTCCTCCTACTCCCGTTATTTACCCCAATGCCTTCGTTCCCCCCTTTATTCTTCCAACCAAAAATAACAACCCACATTAATTTAACATGACATAATCAGTCCACGGAAACGCTGGCCACCTCCTCCAGTCCCTCCGCCCCAGGCTGTACCACACCCTCTCCGACTCCAACTACCACGTCCTGGCCCTCTCCTACCGCGGCTTCGGGCTCAGCACCGGTTCGCCGACCGAGGCCGGCCTGATCATCGACGCAGCAACCGCGGTCAACTTTGCCGTCCAGACAGCCGGGATCCCGCCCTCCCGGATCGTGCTGCTGGGCCA